AATCGATTTTAGAAACAAATTTTTCCGTTGTTACCCAGGCCTACTATTTATTAATTTCCTACACTTGTACCATGCACCTCTCACCCCGAAGAGGACCCAGGGCGGTCTCAGAGCATCAATTAAAAATCACGCAAGTTCAAAATGCTTCACATTGATTTAAATGGTTCTCATTGTTGCCCTGCTACAGTGACTGCTCGAATACTCAGTCCCATAACCTTGTCTTAAGTTCCCCCCCCGAAAGACAGGACGGAGGGGGCTGGCCAATGTCATTCTTCGTGCAAAAGTTCTGATATACCCTTTCACACTGGAAATTGTGATAAAATTTACATTATTGAAAAGTTATTACCGACAGTCCTCCCAACCCTGTTAGAAAGCTGTGAAACGTGGGCCATCTACAGACATCACAATCAACTTCTGGAACTATTCCATCAGCGGTCAAGTTCCTCAAATCTGAAAATCTCTTGGGAAGAAGACAAGCGGGGAAATGTCAGCTTGCTGGAAGAAGAAGCAAAGACCACCAGCACTGAAGCGATGATCCTTCGCCATCAACTCCACTGGACTGAAGGCTACGTTGTCCGGATGCCCAAAGATCACCATCTCCCAAAGCAGTTACTCTACTCCCAGCTCAAGGACGGGAAGCTTACTCTTGGTGGACAGGAAAACAGATTTAAAGATGGGTTTAAAGCCAACCTTAAAACTGTGGCAGAGACAACGAGGGGGAACTGGCACACCCTGGCCCTTGAGAGCTCTAACTGGAGGTCAGCTGTGACCAGCAGTGCTGCGGAATTCGAAGAGGCATGAATGGAGGGTGGAAGGGAGAAACATGCCAAAAGGAAGGAGGTGTGTCAAGGGCATATGAAGAGAAGACAGCAAAAAACAAATTACAGAAGGAGATTAAAGAAAAATAAAGACAATTAACAAAAAGATTTATCAAATGTAAAACTCCCAACAAGAGCTGAACCAACTTCTTCAAGAAGCTTGACTGTCAAAAGCAAAACTTCCCATCAATCTCTGAGGAGGAACAAAAAGAGTTAACACATTCAATAGTCACGAATAGCTTTTATTCAATCACTTTGACGCACAGGTTCTTTTTGTTGTAATTTCCAGTGTTAGAGGGTATGGCAGAACTTTTACACAAAGAATGACATTAGACATTTAGATATACAGATTCTATGTAACTATATTGGATTCACAATTACATGGCTAAGAAATAAACAAAGGAGAATTACATTTTTACTCAGCATTCACATACATGTACATGCATCCGTCCTCATGCATGCTTCACCATTTCTTCTGCTGTCTCCTGAGAAGAACATCTCTTAGACCAGACCCTGTTCCCTGCAGCCTGCCAATGCACGGTTCCAGATTGGCAAAAGTATGATAGCTGGGACCCTACACTGGTTGCACACCGTGGGCCAGAATTCATGAAGGGACAGGGGCGGCTGAACCATAAGGCAAAGTACGCTTTTGCGTAGGGCGCTGTCCCCCAGGGAGCACCCCTGTTGCCATCGCCGGGGTGCGTCCCTCTCCCAGCATTGGCAAGTGTGCCAGGAAGAGGCCTGGGAGCGCGCATCCAGGGGCTGAGTGAATCTGGCTGCAAAGGCCGTGCTTCACTGGGCCCTGGGCATGCACTCTCAGCCCTATTTCCCCCGCGCAGGCCTTCCTCAGCCAGTCGACCTCCATTCCTAACAGCCTCAGCCCCCTTTTAGCAGCTGAGTGGGAATAGAAAAGGGCCCGAGGCTGTTGGGAATGGTGGGAGTTGAAGTCCAAAACACCTGGAGGGAAGGCTCAAGGTGACCCAGAGCTGGGTTAAACCCCACCCGTGAGAAATGTGCGAGACTGTGTGTGTTGTTCCTTCGCCCTCACGCCCGGGATGCATCTATTCTGCACTGTCTAATCCAGTGCTTCTCAACCTTCCTAATGCCACGACCCCTTAATATAGTTCCACATGTTGTGGTGACCCCCAACCATAACCCTAACATTATGAATCACCATGTAAATAATGATCTGCAGGATGTATTTTCATTCACTGGAGAAAATTTGGCACAAATACCCAGTATGCCCAAATTTGAAATACAAATACCCAGTATGCCCAAACTTCCCACACAGAACCCCCATGACCAACAGAAAATACTGTGTTTTCTGATGTTCTTTGGCGACCCCTCTGACACCCCTTCGCGACCCCCTCAGGGGTCCCGACCCCCAGGTTGAGAAACACTGGTCTAATCCATGCTGGACCATGGTGAGAGTTTTGGAAGTTTCCTCTGCCAAGGCGTGCACCTATTCCATCGCCTTGAGCCACGGCCATTCCAGTGTGTCAAACTGCCTTCACTCCACATTGCAGATGCACCCTGTGGACCTCCCTCTCTCCCTTCTT